TACAACTGCAAGGTTATAAGTTCAGTGTAAGTCACCGGAAAGGTAGAGATAACGTGGTTCCTGACGCCTTATCCAGAATTCCTGACTCCGAGATAGCATCAATGGAAGCAATAACTCCTGAAATTGATCCTGACTCGCCACATTTTCAAGACAAGGATTATATAGAGTTAAAAGGCAAAGTTGTTGACAATGAGAATAACTACCCTGATATTAAAATTGTAGATAATTTTGTGTATATTCGAACTGAACATTACACAGGGGAAGATCTACAAACAACAATGTTGGAAACTATGGATACCTTTAAATCTTTAGCCGTCACTTGATGCTGACACAATAAATCGGCAATATCTTCAAGAGTTCTTGAGTTTTTCACTTGAAATGTTGTAGGGACATTCTATAATTAGTGTAGGTTCGAATTATATCAAAAAAATTTTTTTGCAATATTGCCTCGCTATCGGGCACACTTCATTTTATATTAAATCGTATGGAAATATATGTATGTGGAAGTTATATATGAATCGATTTCAACAAAACGTAACACACGTTATACTAGATTCAATTCAATGGGCCATGCAAAATTTCGTCTCAATCGGACAAATCATGAGAATTTGTTGCACCATTTAAAACAAACTTTACACATTTTATTATTGCCAAATTACATCTAATTGGGATAATAAATGCGAGCAGTACTTTGTTCGACTCAGAAAGAGATTCTATGCATAAAGTCAGAAGTAACTGTGGGTCTATCTTGTTTCCTTTTGCATGTTACAAACATATGCACATAATATCCTGTACCACAGAGTGGTGAAGGTACATAAAAATCTGGCAATACCGAACACAAAAATAAATTCATTAACGCCAACTCATTATCTCCGAAGTGAAGATTATTTCATTCAGAGCTGTGCTCCGAAATAAAAGTGTTTCATTTCTGCTCTTTTGCAAGAATTCTGCGTTATTCAAGGTAATTATCATCAAATTGTCAATGAATTAATTCAATATTAAATTTTGTCATATGTATTTTTTATGGAAAAAAAACAAAAAAAAAAACAAATTTTCAAAAAAGTTTATTAATTAAATTAGTAGTGAAACTCTAAGCTCAGCCAATGACAATTTTTTCTTTTAATTTCCTTTAATTTTTTTATGCGGTCCCAAACCAAAAATTTGGTTATTAAATTTTAATTACATATTTTTTTCGCTGTCCTGTGTCTGTGTTTTTTAATTAAATATTTACAATGTAAAGAAAAACATATTTTTTGAAAACGTATAAAAATAGTTTATGAATAATAAGTGTCAAAAACGAAACTGCAGCACATGTCATATGTTCGTTTTTTTTTTTTTTTTTTTTGGTCAGTGACGGCGGGCCTGACAATGCGGAATATAATGAGAAATGAGGTCTCTTTGAAACAAAATGTTTTTTTGCAAGCAAACATGATTGGTGTTCATTTATGTCTGGCCTGGTCGGGTGTTGTCTGTTCTGTTCTGACTATTTATCATTGTGTCCGTCTGTCGATGTTCCCATCAACATAGCCAGCCCAGCCCATCCTATTTTATTTTGTATTTTCATTTGTTGTTGTTGGTCTCAAAACGGTTGCGGCTCAATGCAATTTCCACTTTAATTAATTCCTTTCTATGCAATTTGATTTACTCTCCGTGCTTTTGTTGTTGTTGTTACTGCAAAATGGATAAATCCGCAACAACAACAACAAACGTTGAATAGAAGAACTCTGACAAAATAGAGACCATAAATAATGACATTACGTTGTTGTTCCGTAGGTGCAGTAGAAAATGTATTTTACGAGTAATTAATGTGGACAAGAAAAAAGAAGGAGGGAATGAAGGAGAATAGGAATAACGCGAGCAAACGAATGGAAAATTTCATATTTCGTTTTAAATTGAATTACTTTGTGGCGCCTCTGAATTTGTACTCATGTACAAATATTTTTACACAATCTCATGATGATGTGTGTGTCCCATGTGCTTCTGCTTTCGAAGTTGGTTTAGGTTAGGTTGAGGCTCCAAAAAATGAAAATAATCGGAGAAAATATTAACGGTGGCTGCTCAGAAATAAGCATACCCTACCTAACAAGCCTTTGTAACTCCATAAATTATGAGTCTTAGGCCCACATTTTAATAAATATACCTATCATCATATATCCACTAACTGAATCAATCTAGGAATGTGTGTCCGTCCGTCTTTAGACAAGGTACAGGCTGCAGTTATTAGACAATTGTAACGAAATTTTGCCGTGCAGATTCGATCCTGGCCGAATACGACAATTGTAGTTTTTTTTATTCAGACTTAATATCCAGAGGATCAAATGGACCAAAAAAAAATACTTTTATCTACTTTTCTAGCCCTCTAAAGACCACAAATATGACCCGAATGTCACGAAATTTTACACAGCGAAGAGGATATGGCTCTCGAATAAGGTTAAGATAAATCAATAATGAACCAAGATTTATGTAAAAATTTTTACAAATGTTGCATTTTATGGCGTATATATTTGGCAGTATATCCAGGAACAGTGGTGAACCTTTAAATTGATATAATTATATAACATTATTATATCCTCTAATGAAATTCAAAAATTGAAAGGATGCTACCTTTAGTTTTCGTTGATGATCTATTAATATTTTGGGAAACAAATGGACCATAAATATTTATTTGGATCTTTTTTTCCTAGTCGCTCTCTATACCATATTTTCGATCTGAAGACTACAAGATTTTCCATGAGAAGTGGGTCAGAATGAGGATGCATTTCTGCATGATGATCAGTGTGAAAAATTATAAAATTTAATTTAAGGCATGCATGTTTTCTCCAAGAAGTTCAGATGTGGAGATGCTGCCAAAATATTAAAGACGGTCTCTTATACGTCAAATTAATTTTTTACTATATGATCAGATACATTATATATTAGTATTATAAGGTAAAGAATTCTATATTCTTTAATATTGTATAGTATTATTAGAAGATAAATATCGACTTTCACAAAAAATTGTATAGAATCGAGATTTAGATCCACTGAAAATTTAAGTTCTGTGGAAGCTGTGTAGTGTACCATTCGATCGGTCTCAGCTGACACTACTGGTCAGCAATTTTTAAACCAAAAAATAAATGTTTGTTAAATAATTATTTTTCAACTATTCACCTTCGGAATACCTATGTCTGATCTGAAGGTACAGTGTGAAAGTTCATATCCTTTACCTTTCGGAAATATTTTATTCAGAAATTGTTTAAACAGAAATTTGAAGGAAAACATATTAAAAAAACGTTAAAGGTAATATATTCGGAGAATTTTGTTCAGAATTTTTTTGGAACAGAAAATAAAAGAGGACCTCTGTACGGGGACTATAATACCTGCGCCTGATCTGAAAGCTCATCTCCTCTATTTTTCGAAAATATTTTTCAGAATTTTTTGAAATAAAAAATTTAGAAAAAAATAATTTTTAAGGGCTAAATATTCGGAGTACCATTGTGCGGGGACTGTAATATCATACGTACGCCTGATCTGTTTGAAAGATAATCTTATTTACTTTTCGAAAATATTTTATTCAAAATTTTTGGAACAGAAATTTGGAGAAAAATAATTTTGAAAAAAAAAATAATTTTTAAAGGTAATATATTCAGAGAACCACTGTGCGGGAACTTTAATACCTCCTCTACTTTTTGAAAATATATTATTCAGAATTTTTTGAAACCGAAATTTCGAGAAAGAAATTATTTTGAAAAAATTTAATTTTTAAGGGCAATGTTTTATGAGAAACCACTGTACGGAACTATAATACCTATGCCTGATCTGAATGTACTGTGTGAAATTTAATCTCCTATACTTTTCAAAATATATTATTCAGAATTTTTTGAAACAGAAATTTGGAAAAAAATTATTTTAAAAAAATTTGGTTTTAGAGCAAAATATTCGGAGAGCCACTGTGCGGGATCTATGATACCTACGCCTGATCTGAAAACACGTCTCCCATACTATTTTTGGTAAAAGAAATTTGGAGAAAAATTATAAAAATTATTAAATTTAATTTACAAGGGCAATATTTATTTGGAGAACTATAATACCTACGCCTGATCTAAAGGTTCCGAATTCGAATTGCATACCTTCTTCTATATGGAATCTTTATTAAGGATGTAATTATCTATATCTATTAAAATCGCGATAGAGCTCACAATATTTAAAATAGAGCTTTGAAATTGTATATGTCGGGTCATTTCTTGATATAGTCCCATGCATAACGATATTTTTTCATTTTCGATGTTTTGAGGGTCCTAGAGGCATTTTCCAGTATATAGGCTGTAATTTGGTGTTCCTGTATCTTGGATAATGAAAAATATATTTGCAATAAAGTTGTCAATATAGGTCCATGGTCTAGCATAATCTTCATATACAGATCCCGACCAATTTTATATATATATATTTTGACGGCCCTAAATAATATTTATAATCGGTGTTGCTAAAAATTGCAATTTTCGATCATTAGTGGATAGAAAAGTAGATTTAAGGTGCGGTCTGGCCACATATAACAGTACCAACTCATTATCGTAATTTTGAGGGTCCTTGCTGCAGGCGATCAAAAGCTCTGAAAATCTTCTTCCACAAAAAAAAATATGTTGCTCATAATCAATTGTCCTTGAATCCTTGAAAAATTGATCCGGTAGGATAGTGATGGATTTTGTTAACTGAGAAAAACATTTTTCAGCAGCTAAGTATAAATTTTTGTATATTTACTAAAAAAATCAAAAGTTATCAAATATTTTTTAAATTATTTCTTGTCAAATTTAATTAGGATTTTTTGGAAGATTTGTTTAAAATATGAACAAACATCTAGCCGTATAACCCAAATACCTTTAATATTATATAACCCCTATAATCTTAAGTTGTTTTCCCCTTCGATTTAATATATTTAAAATTTTTATTTATTTAATTTTTATAATTTATTTAAATTTTTTTATTTTATTATTTTCTTTTTTATATGTTCTCAATTTTTTTAGCAAACGTTTTGGTTGGACATTTTTTGATATTTTTTATACCAGTAATAAGACTGTTAAAACACCAAACAAGGCCTTAGATAATAAACCTGCCAACAGTTCGACCTCGACGACTACTACTAATAAGCCAAGTGAAGCTAGCAGTTCGAAAGCGCCCGAACCAGCGAAACCAAAACCGGTTGAAGTTAAACCTGCACCAGCTCCAGCTGCTCCCAAACCCGCAGAAGTTAAACCTGCACCAGCACCCGCACCTCCAAAACCTGTTGAAGTTAAGCCTGTAGCTCCTGCACACCCAAAACCTGTTGAAGTTAAACCTACACCAGCCCCGGAACCACCAAAACCCGTAGAAGTTAAACCTGAACCACCAAAACCCGCTGAAGTTAAGCCCACACCACCACCTGCACCAGCACCCGTTGTCCCACAACCACCATCCGTTTCGCCACCAAAGCAGGCACCTTTTCAAACACCCCTTGCTCCCATTACACCAATCGAAGACAAAATGCCAGTGCCCATTGCCGTACCCAATCCTCCAGCTAATGCTGATTTGAAAACGACCGAGAATGGCACCGCCCAAGATGTCATGGACAAGAAGTTGCAAGAGAGTGCAGCCCTCAAGGAGAATGGCGAAAACATTAAGAATAATGCGAAAAATGCCACCGCTGATTTTTTGAGTGGTGAATCGAAGTCGCCCTCAAAAATTATGAAAATGACCGATGGGTAAGTGTGACGAGAGATTTTATTTATTATACCCATTTTTTATTTTATTTAGATTTCAATTTTTAGTTGCGTATTTTATGCTTTAAAAATTAATTTTATTTTTTTTTTTTATTTGAAATATTGGGTAAACGACAAATTTGAGAAATTTTGAAATTACAAACATATTATGCGGCTTTTTTATGTAGATTAGATAGATTTTTATGTTGAATAAACAATTCCGCAAAGGGAACAATCTGTACTTAGTCCAATTCTTTCGTTCATCTAGTTCATTTTGCACTAGTCATTCCGTTTTGCTCCCGTCCACATAGTTCCTATTGACACAATCGTTCATTTTGATCTTTACCGTCATTGAGCGGGCTGACCAATGAAGGATTGAACTAAAAGAGACTATGGAACTAAATGAATGTCCTAGTTCTATTGGGAAACAAACCGACAAAATCAATCCGCTTCAGGAACGAGATTACCCAACTCTTATTTACAATGGAATTAAATGATGATAAAAAAACATATTTCCCTCCGTTCGTCCGAACTTGATGACATTTTTACAATCTAATTTAATGCCGGTGGTTATATTAGATATTTGCACATGTGTCCCTCCATCTGTATTTTTATTTTACAATTCTCTTTTTTCACATCAAACCTCATCTAACCGAACCAAGCGAACTGAACTGGTCAATTAACGTTGGTATAGCGTAGGTTGATGATATCGTTTGCAGTTCTATTTCAATTGCAGCACATGCCGGGCATTTCCTTTTCTTATTTTTTCGATTTTCTTTATTTAAAGTGAAAATTGTTTTTTTCTTCAGACCTCGTGCCAAGATAATTTCAAAGCAAGAAGGTGTTTTATTTTTATAAATTTAATGTCTCAAAACTATTCCATTTGAGTTGACAGTATAACGCATGGTGTCGGCTAATGTAAACCCCTACCCTGGCTGCCGCACGGCAACAGCGTGTCTGCGGTGCATTCACCCCGTTAGCAATTAAGAATACCTCCCACAGTAGTTCAAAAAAAATTTTTGGTTACGCATTTCGTGAGGATGTCTTCTGCTCGACATCATGCGTGGCCAGTCAGTCGGCAGCCAAGCATATTGTTGCATCGCCTGCATTTCTTCCTCTTCTTGGGTTCAATAAACTCTATGTGCAACTAAAATAAGTTTTTGGGGAGATTTGAGATTCTCGTTCTTTTTGGGATTCTGATTTTTTTCTACGTGTAAATAATTTTAGGCATTCGCCGCTTGGCGACATGTGCTGCACAAACAAACACACACGTCTAAGTTTATAAATTTCAATCATGTTGTTGTGTTGGCTTTACTTGCAGGAGGTTGCAACTCATTTCCTGGTTATGAAAAGAAATTTTCATTTCATTTTCTAAAATTAAGATTTATTCTCTGTTTAGGTTGACAGCAAAAAATATAAAAAAAAAATTGTGGACGACAAAAATATTTGTTGAACTGTCTGCATGTCAGACGTGATTAGAATAATTTTAAAATAAAAATATATTTTTTGGTGATTTTATTTGTGGTTCCATCAGAAGATGGAAGGTACTGCATTTAACGCTTATATGCACTCAAATCTGATCAAATTTTATATACATTTCTCATTTGAATCACTAAAAATCGTCCTAATTCAAATGTGCATATGAGAGTTAAAATAAATATCCAATTTTTGTTTAACCAATTTAATCAAAATTTTATTAAATTCCATCCATACTTGGAACAAATTCAAAGATGCAGATAATCGGTCTAGTTCTTATAGAACCTCCCCAATTTAATTTCATTTTGAAATCTATACATTCTTAAAATGTCTGAAAGTACATCTACATATACGATTTTAAATCAACTCGATTAACGAAATCCAGAAATACACACTAAATGTTTACACATACCTTTAATCATGTCAATCAACTGATGTTTGCTAGTATACATACAAAATTATTAATTTGCGCCAAAAATATATGTTTGTTGGACATGTTCATCTAAAATTGTACAAAACCCGTTTAGACTATGCCCTCTAAATTGACTCCATTTGTAAATCGGTGACCGAAATCCTAGCTGTTTAGACTAGTATTAAATGATATAATTTTGATTTATCAGCTGTTATTTGTTTACATATACATAAACATTTCACTGGCTTCATAATGATCTAATTGTAACACCAATATGGTGCAGCTTAACAAATATATATATATATATATATATATTTTTTTTTTTTAATTTATTTATTATTATTATTATTTTCTTCAACTAACTTGATTGCAGATTCTTTAAATAGATTTTTGAATGGGCATATAATCAAAACAACTTTTATATCGTGATCATGACACAATAAATAGGTAGTCCATTTAGCGCAGATGATGTCTCGATTAACTGTCAAGTGGGTAATTTCTACTTGAATTTGATCTGCCGTGTTGCCAACCATGTGAAATATTATAAGGAAAAATTTGGCAGATAATCGAGACAAAGACAAAAACAAAGGTTTTTATTCTGATACACCACCTAATTATCGCATCATTATCTCCATTTATTTGTTAAATCGATATAATTTCAAATACAACACTGTTTTTGCACAAAAAAATATTACTTTTATCCAAAAGTAAAAAAATGGCAACTCTTATTTACTTTTAAATTCAAATACGAAGGAATTAAATTACATTTCGGTTTTTATGATGGAAAGGAATCCCTAAGAAATTAAAAATAAGGAGTGTATATGTGTACATAAACAAATATCAGCTGACTGACAATTTTATATTATTTTTTCTAGTTTTAACAGCTATGATTTAATTCTTCGATTTACAAATCGATTTGATTTAGAAGGCATAATCTACACTCGTCTTAACGTGTGAACTGATCTTCACCAAACCTTAAGTGCTGCTTCAACATCATTGTGTCTCCTTTTCTCGGCCACATATTTTTCAGGTTGGAATATTCACCAAATTTTCATTATTTGTCTCTACATTTTTTAATTTCTTAACAGTAGGTTTATCTACATTATATTATTATCGTAATAATGTACATTATATCCATTAATGTGGTAAATCGAGCAGAATTTCCCTCTATAGGTACTCCATTTAACGCAGCTGACTATCCGATTAACTGTCAAAGTGCATAGTTTCTACTTGAATTCGATGTGCAATGTTGCCAACCATGAGAAATATTACTACATAAAATGTGACAGATGGTCGCATAAAAAACAGCTGTTTTTGTTTTGATACATAACATTATTATTGCATCAGGGATTTAGCATAACACTATTTTTGAACAAAAAATACATCCACTTTCCTAAATTCAAACTAGTTGCTCAATAAAATACAAGGCCGCATCTGAAAATTTTTAAATTTGTTTATACATACAGGGATGGTCCGTGTGACGAATTTTTAGGTTTTCCACTGTCAAGAAGGTGTAAACGTCGAAAACGTCATATACCTGTATAATATGTAATAAATGTAGTAAACGTCATTTACTTGAATATTATTACCATATACAGTTATTTTCAAGAACATATATCATTCTTAAATATATCTGACTATTCCTTACAAGAACTGATAAACATTTCTGAACGTTTTGGAGAAGAAAACTTTTAAATTTGATATGGATTTGAGTAAAGCATACGTAATTTCCAAATTGATTGATGGAAATAGCTATTTTGTCAAAACCCTAATGGTTTTGGATAGGTTTCCGACGTTTCTGACGTATGTATTATAAGTCGGAAATGTATGTCATCCCTGAATATATATTATGAAAATATTGATTGAGAAATTGCCACAAAAATTATGAAGCCAGTGAAATGTGTATGTATACGTAAACAAATAACAGGTGACAAATCAACATTTTATCATTTAAAAGTCATTTGAGATCGAGTGGATTTATTAGTCTAAACATGTTTTATTACTAGTCTAAACAGCTAAAAGGTACGTTTTGATTTACGAAATCCACTCGTCAAATATAATCCACTGGATTTGTGAACAGGATTAACGTGACGTATACCCAAGGAATTAACATTTGAGATCGAGGGGATTTAGTAGCCTAAACGTAGCCTAATATTAGGAACCCAGATTTACAAATCAAGCCGATTTTAGAGGCATAGTGTAAACTCGCCTTTAACCTTGAAAATGAACATGGGAATCAATATGATATGAACAAATACCAGCTGACTGACATCTTTATATAATAATACTAGTCCAAACAGCTAGGCTTTTGTACATCGATTTGGATATTCAGTAGATTTAGGAGGTATAGTCTAAATGAGCCTTAAATCATTTCCCTACCTCATCATAAAAGTCCTCCGAAAAAAAAATGAAATCAAAAAACAGAAATGCAATTTTAATTTCTATCATAATTTCTATCTACATTTTAATCAATTTGCAAATTTCTAAAATTGAAATCAAATTCTTTTTAAATTCAAAATTACAAAAATAAAAATGTTGTATATTGAAATCAAATTCTTTTTATATTCAAAATTACAAAAATAAAAATGTTGTATATTCTCAATTTATAGTTGGTGTAATTTTTTGGGCTATTGGCAACAACAGAATTTAAAATACTTTCATTTGTTTATTATTGAAACAGTTGTTGGATGTTTTTTTTTTTTTTTAATTTTTATTCAGTTTTATTTTCTATTTCAAAAAAGAACAAAAATATTTAAAATGTTGTTGAAATTTTGCCAAAAAAGTGAAACAATGGTGGCTGTTGTTTTCCCGGTGATACGTTCCTCGGGCGGACGTTCTAACAAGTGGCAAAAAATAAATAAAAAAGTGAAGAACGTTGGCCAAATTTCAAAATTTATGCAATTATATAGTCCGGCATCAAATTATACATCATATTAGATACACGTTTATATTATATGTATGTTTGTTTAAACATATATATTTTCGTTCTAAATGTGAAATATTTTACTTAAAACATCTGAAAATATGTATACGTATATAAATCTGTGTAGATATGTTCTGATCTCGATTATATATTTGTTTGTTTTATTTTTTTGTTTTATCTTAACAAAGAAAATAATATTTTTTCCTTTGTTCGCGATTATATCTGTTTGCCATCCGATTTTAGATTTGATTTTTAAAATATATATGATTTGGTATATAACATCGAAAATTAACTTTCCAAAAGAAATTTAAGCCACAAATGTGTCATCATCTCGATTTAAGTACTAAATCGAGCTGAATAAACCTCGAATTACCATACAAAATTAAATACACTCGTTATCTCGATTTGCTTGAAATCCTATGCTACATCTGGATAATTTTAAATGAAACACTGCTTTTGGACCAATTACTTCATCTAAAAATACCAAATCAAAGCTGATGTTTACATTAAAATTCGAAATAGTTGTCAAGCAAAAAATGGCCGATACCGAAAAAATTTAAAATTTTTTAAAAAAATATTATAATTATTTCTTTATTTTAAAACAATATTTATTTGTCTATCAAAATCAAATTTATGAAAATATTGACTAAGAAAAATTGTACGTATACACATAAACAGTGAAATGTGTATGTGTATACGTAAACAAATAACAACTGACTGTCAACATTACATCATTTTAATAATATTCTAAACAGCTAAAACGAATTTACATATAACATTTAATCATGAATAAAGGCTGAATCAGGGTTTATTTTCTTAATCAGGCCGAATTCACCACGATTTACCATACAAATTTAAATCATCGTGCGGCAGGGTTTATTTTAAATCTTGGTCGAAATCCTGATACCAATGAGATGCAACGAGGTTTTTGTACGAAAAAATACAACTCTCTCATAAAGTACCAAAATTTGCAACAGTTTTCACATGTTTTTATATTCGACGGGTGCCAAATGTAAAAATGAAAAATTAAAGGAAAACAAAAATTATTTATAGAATTTTTGAGATTTTAGTTAATTTTTTATACGGCATTTACATTAGAACTTTTTACCGGTTTAACCTACTTTATGAGGATTAATTTGACATATATGCAAAGGAAGTGACAATTTAAACCCACTGGGTTAACCAAATCCGGTACAATGTAAACGTACTTTTACTTTCCAAATGATCCAAATGATTGCAAAAACAACTCCATTGTTGTACTTTTTCTTTTAATTTTCAAATTGCAAACACATATTTTGGGCGCAAATTAATAATTTTGTGTGTATACTAACAAACATCAGCTGATCGGCGTTTAGATCATGATTTAAGGTATGTGTAAACAACTAGGGTGTATTTCTGGATTTCATTAATCGAGTCAATTTAAAATCGTATATGTAAATGCACTTTAAGATTTAGTAACTCGGTCATGATTTAAGGCATTGTTGCACGAGCCATCAATGTCATATGTGCTATCAGTTTTTCTGTACACACGACATTTTGCATTTATGTCAAAATTGCTTCTTTTGTGTTTAATTGTTTTCCTTCCACAAATTTAACTTCAATTCTTCAAGTTATATTCCACCGCAAATATTGGTCTGCATTGGTACTGCAAGAATCTACTAGATTTCACTATTTTATATTTCGATAACATAAAGGAAAATTTGTTATCGTAGTAGAAAGTAGTTTATTCTTGCAGTAGGGGAACAGGCCGTATATCTTCACCTACCAAACAATCAAAATAGCCATATTTGGTTTACATATGAAAACCTTTACAGAAATGGAGTGGTTCCTAAATTACATATGTGTTGTCATATCATTTTAACCATGATCCAATAATAATGTGATGTATCAAAATAAATGCCTTTATTTTTGTCTCGACCATCTGTAAATTTTTTCCATATAATAGTGCACATCGAATTCAAGTACAAGTTACGCCCTTTACCAGTTAATCGAGACATCAGCTGGACTACCTATTTATAGTGCCATGGTTTTAACAGATGCAATTTTAATTTTTAATTTCTGTCACTTTCAAAGATTTTATTATTTAACAATATATTCGCCATCACATATTTTCTTGGAAGATAAAAACACTTCTCTTCTCTGTATTTCTCAAATGTATCATGTAGAGAAATTCACGTTGCAACATTTACAATACAATAAAATAAAACCACAAATATAAATGCTTATCTTATATTTATTTTTAAAATAAATATTACTACTCATAAATATCGAATATAACAAAGCATGTGGTTTCGTAGATTCGTTAAAATAATATAAATATGTAATTATGTTGTATGTGCGTGTGGTTTAATACCACAAAATCTTAAAATATTTTATAACAACTTTTATTATTTCTAAATGTATATTCTTCAAATTGTTTACTAAAATCGTTAACTATGAATAAAATGGCAATTTTCGGTTAAA